TCGCTTTCTCTGTTCCTGTCCCTGTCTCGGTCTGGGTCTTGGTCTCGGTGTCGGTGTCGGTGTCGGTCTCGGTTTGGGTCGTCTGTTGTTTCTATGTGTGTCTACACTTAGAAAAAAATGCGTAACTATGTTATAATTGCTTAGATGTTGTCTTAAGCGGCTATCGGACCAGGTATTTCTGAAGTAGTTTCCAAAAAGAAATACTGTTTTCGCTGCCTAAGCAACCCCAGAAAACAGGAGAGATTTAATATCTTGTATGTCCTGGCAAGCCAAGCAAAATTTATGAGTTTTATGGACTGATAATGTGAACTATATGATATACAAATTTAATTGATTTTGTTGTTGATAGGAGGAGCAGCAGAAAACACTTAAAGCCCGCCCCAACAAAAAAATTTGTTAAAAAAAATTTATAATCTGGAATGATTTTAATCTTTAAAATGGCACATGAAATGATTAAATAATTGCCTTTTAGGACAGTTCTTAAATAAGCAACAAAAAAAATATTTATATATCGAACGTAAATGAATAATTGAAACTATTCAATACACCAGAATTTAGACTGAAATGTGAGACAAATCGTTTCTGGTAAGCTTAGTAAGTGCAGTTATTTATTTACTATCTGATTGGAAAAATAAAGATAGATTTTTGACTGGACTGCTGGACTGCCCTGGATTATAGTATGTAGTTGATAGCTGACTCCCTTAAAGAGGACCCGAGCAATCATAGTTTCTCTCAGTGCACAGCTATGTGTGTAGTTGTGGCGCATTTTATGAAACGTTTTATTATACTAATTTGTAGCATGGTAATGGTCGCTTGTTACACTCGCCAGTTTCGGTTACATCGAATGGCCAACTAAAAATGGCAATTTGCCATCGCATGAAATGAGCGTGAAGAAGAGGAAGTTCACATACACACACATAAACACACACACACACACATACTCGTTTGGGTGCACACTTCAGTCAAGTCTCTATTAGCAGACAATGGGCAGACAGTTGGTGGGACTGGAAAATGCAGGGAGCTTAGCCGTCGGGCTGTGTAATACATATGGCAAAGGTATTTTAAATGTGTGTGCTCCAAAATTGTTTAGCTGTATAAGTGTGTGTGTGCGTGTGTGTGTCCATGTGAATGCAGTGGGATTTTCGCCTGGGTTTTATTAAAATGGAACTGAAAAGCGCCAAGTGGACAATGCCACGCATATCCTGCACCCAGCCACAATGTATGTGCATACATATATACTCGTATACAAGTATGTATGGCACATATGTACGTGTGTAAGTGCAAGTGTGTGCATCGTTAGTGCTAGTCGCATTCGTTGGCTTGTTAAGTCCAGGCATCGGACAGCTTGCTAAGTTTTAACGACTTTGTTTCCGTTACGTCTAATTTAATGAAATTCGTTTTCCCCATTGCCAAGTTTTGTGCATAAAATTTTCAAAAAGGATTCTAATGACTTGGGCGCAGTTATATCAGACATGGCCAGGCATTGCCATTGACATTGCGTGTGTGCGAATATGTGTGTTTGTGTGTGTGCGTGTCTGGGGCGTTACAAGTGCCTTAATATTTTGTTTGGTTTTTGATTTAATGATGGGGTGTTGCCTATTGTTATACTTACTACGAGTCCTGTGCTTGGTCTGACATTTGCAAGCAATGAAGTCATTGTTTGTAATGCCTTGCTGGGGCTTGATTGCTGGGCGGGCGACTGCTCCCAGGCATCGACTTAAGCTAGATCATCGATTAGCTCAACAGATTATGGGTTAAGGTGGCAGGCGCAAATTATACAAATTATTCTGGAATGATAACACGCAGTATAGAAAGCCTCTCCCTCTCCCTCTTGTGTTAGATTTGAAGACTTCATCGCACTCTACTTATTTACATGCTAATAATCTGATAATGCTTATTGCTGGAATATTGAAAACATTTTTCATTAGACCATGTAATAAAAAATAATAGTTACGACTCAAAGGGTTTCCTTAGAATACTATTTTTTTTTAAAATTGCAATACTAATATTTTATTTAATGAGTTCAATAGTTGCTTTAGGTAAGCCTTGTAATTATGGGTTTCTAGAAGTTTCTTCACCAATAAACATCCTTTTCGCGCACATTTTTATTTACTTATTTATAGTTTCTCAAAGACCACTTCAACTTTTTTGATAGCTCTTCTGCTATCGAAGTCTGACTATGTTTTTTCTGCCACGCCCTAAAGCTAACTTCATATTCACAACTTTGAACCAAAAATGCAGCTACTTTTTGCCACCAGCCGAGCAACTAAAACTATTTGCCAAGAAATATGACCGAGGCAGCGCAGGGAAATAAACAAACTGATTTGCATTTATGGAAATAGCATTTTAGCGCCAATACCCACAAACAGCCTGAGCAGGATCCAGAAGCCAGGAGACAGACAGCGGCAGCCGGCGGACAGGCAAAACGTAATGGCGTAAAAATGCAAGGAAATATGAGTGTCTGTGCACATTTGTTGGCCGCAGGCGCTGCAGCGCAAAATGCGAGCAGGACGAAGCAATCCCTTTGGCGAAAATCAAATAGAAATGTTGTGCTTGTGCGAGTGTGAATGAAGAAGGCTGGTGGTGGGTGTATTTGTGGTGCGTGTGTGTGTGTGTGTGTGTAAAGCCAAAAGTAAATATTTATGTTTTATGTTAATGAGAATATGTCTGACTTTTTGCTATTTGAATATTGGCAACGGCCACAGTTTACGCCGCAGCCATGACGAAGGTTTGTTTGTACGTGGGATGTTTTAAAAATTATCGATTGAGATGACAGCTCATGCGGAATACTGAAAAATTGAAAGGCTTTCATTAGAGTGAAAATTAAACTCTGTTTAATTGTGATTGACACACTTTTAACGGATATGGTCATTAAACATGAATTTCATAAGAAGGAACGTAAGCTCAAAAATATATGTTTTATTAATTCTTTATTTAACAATTCTTCATTACTCTAAAGATTCGAAATACAATTATTAATAAATGAGATTTATTGAAATTATTTTAATAAAGTTAAGGAACAAAACATTCTAAACTTTATTAGAAGTAATACAAAATAGAAATAATAGAATAATAGTCTAAAATCTCAAAACTTGTAAATAACTTAACATTAAAAAATTACTAGAAAAAGGTGAATGAAATTATTGGCTTTATAAATTAAACAATTAAACTTTAAAGATGCTTAACAGCACTTATTGTATTTGCTATTTGTTTGTACAAAGTGCAACCAAAATTAAAAAGAACATTTTTCAAATATCTCTTTCTGGTTGGGACAGGGGACCGAATATTCGTATATCTTTTATCACCAACCCGCCAAAATTCATAACAATTGTATAGAAGCTGAGCTATTGTTCTTTTAATGGGATCCTAAAACACGCCTTAAAAATGCTGAAATGCAGCAGCCGATCAAAAATTAAGAGAACATGGATTTATTTCTATGATTCGAAAAGGAATTATTTATCGGGAATTGATTCCAACACATACAATTGTATCTTAAAGGTCTCGATCCGAAAAGAAGGAATTCTCTTTTGCTCCTCGGTCGACATTTGTGAATAATTTTTGATCAAAAAACACATGTTATTGGTTAACAAAAAAGTCCAATTTAATTTTGGGATGCACATTACAGTACGTGTTTGAATTTAAAACCGATCAATTAAAAACACATGCCTTTATAAATTGTGTTAGTTTATTAAATAAATAAATAAAATACTGAAATTAAAGACCTTGATTTGGAATTTGATGTAGCAATCACCTATTTAAAGCACAATTTCGACTCTCTCAGCCAATCAACACCAAAATTTCCATCGTTGATGTGAATATAAATTATTTCATTAATTGAAGTAAGGACCCTTTTGCTTCTAAAAGTAAATCGGAAGGAAATGCTGCAAATTGACGTTCAGTTTTGCTTGACTTGGCCACGAATATATTGTCCTACCCACTTATATGGCCAAATAATGACAAATGTATCGTGGTGGTTTAAAATGCGGTTGCAGTTTGCATATTTTTTATGCAACAACAAGATTTGCTGTTGTTGGCTGGAACTTGGCCAGGCACATGCTGCGGTCTGGGCCACTACTTTATGGTCTTGCATATATACATATATGTACGTATGTTTGTAATGTATGTATGTTTGTAAGCGTCTGGTAGCAGAATGACTTTCGCTTGCTAACACATTTGTTTGGTAATAATTGACAATTTAATTTCGCCAAAGTGGTAAAAAAACGACGCCGGTATGTTTAATTAGTTTTATTTATTTATTTGCTGCTGTTGTTTATTTATTTACTTTTTTCGCTGTTAATTTATTAATGCTGGAGTTGATATGCGTTTAAGCTGACATTTAATTAATTTCATTAATTTTTTAATTCTTCAAAGAGTTTAACGAAAACCAAAAACAAGTTAATAAAAATTGGAAAAAAAAGTAGCAGCTTTCATGAAAATAAAATATGTTTACCCAGTAAGCTAATTTTAAATATCAGTGTCACATAATGACAATAAATAAACATCGCAAATAGTTTTCTGATAAACATGGGTTGATGTTTACAAATAACCACTGTTGTTGATTTCTGCCTGATTTTATATCGAACAATCTGTATTAAGCTCTTTTATTGTACCTTGATATGTTGGAAATAGTTTGAAACGAGCTGAGCAATCAACTTTTTATAAAGAATAAATCATCTGTTAGTTTCATAGATCCTAATTATCAATATTTCGTCAGATTAATAGAAGCAACCCTATAAAGATAAAGATTCTGTTCAGAAAGCATCGATGAATGTATAGAAAGCTGCTTTACTTGATTTTCATCGATTGTGCACGATACAAACATAATTAATGTTATCGAAAAATACAAAAGCCCAACATTTAAAATCGAGCGACGCCAAGGCATAAAATAATACAACAAGTTATTGAAACTGCATTTATTTTACGAACAAATTAAACTCAGCCATGATTTTTCGATCGTCGAAAAACTATTCATAAATTGTCAAAAATGTCACTATTCTTACCTTATTCGATAAATCCGTGAATCGGACATCGATAAATTGAGTTTTGCTTACATCACTAGTGCGAAATCAGAAGCCAGTCAGTAACTGTCAGTGTCAGTTGAGAAGAAAGTTGGATAAAAATTTATATATTGCAAAATGAGTGAACTGGATAAATGGGTAGAGATTGTAAAGGAATGCAAATATTTGCCTGAAAAAGATTTGAAAAAGTTGTGCGGACTCGCCTGCGACATTTTGCTCGAAGAGCCCAACTTACATCCAGTTAGCACACCAGTTACCGTTTGTGGCGATATTCATGGCCAGGTGAGTTACCGCTCCGAACTAAGCATATATCGCAATTGTGCATAATAAGACTTATGCTTATTCAGTTCTACGATTTGGAGCAACTATTTCGCACAGGCGGTGAAGTTCCACAGACCAAATACATATTTCTAGGCGACTATGTGGACCGTGGCCATTATAGTCTGGAATGCTTTACGCGTCTGCTTACGCTAAAGGTGCGCTATCCGAACAGCATTACGTTGTTGCGTGGAAACCACGAATCTCGTCAGATTACCAAGGTATATGGGTTCTACGATGAATGCATGTCTAAGTATGGGAACGTTAATGGCTGGAAATATTGCTGCGAGGTCTTCGATTTGCTATCAGTAGCGGCGGTAAGTAATCAACTTAATAATAATTCGAATAGTATAAATAGGTTAAATAGGCTTAGACATTATTAGGATGAAGACATAACTGAGCATGTGTAATCTAATTCTTGTATAGGCGTATATCTAGTTAGACACTCATGTACTAAAAGCTTCTCGAGATAAAAGTTATTGTTCATCTATTTAGAAGAGTTGTGAGGTCGATGATGATTTAATAAAATTACCCATATTTTAGGAAGTAGTACTGCTTTAAACATTGCCTTACAACCTTTGCAATGTTTTGAATGAAAATTGAAAATATCGCTGTACATCCAATAGATATATATACAAGTACACTGTCTCGCTTCCCTTCACAGCTCATTGATGGACAAGTTCTTTGCGTTCATGGCGGTCTGAGTCCCGAGGTCAGCACCTTGGATCAGTTGAACATTATTGAGCGTAACTGCGAGATTCCGTTTCGCGGAGCCTTTTGCGACTTGTTGTGGTCTGATCCGGAAGATATAGATTACTGGTAAGCAGCTCTGCAAGCAATGTTAAGCAAATATTATTAAAATTCGCTATTTAGGGGCGCAAGTCCACGCGGTGCTGGCTGGTTGTTCGGACGCAAGGTGACAGAGGATTTTATGGAAATTAACAATCTGACTTTAATCTGCCGCGCCCATCAACTGGTCAACGAGGGCATTCGGTATGCCTTTCAGGATAAATTGGTGACAGTTTGGTCGGCTCCCAACTATTGCTATCGTTGCGGCAATGTGGCTGCCATTTTGAGCTTCGTTGAGGGCGAAGAGAAGCCATCGCATAAGATTTTTAATGCAGTGCCTGATGAAGAGCGCGTTATTCCCAAACCGGGTGCCACTCCATACTTTTTGTAAAGCCCCAGGTGTATGTGACGATAATTCAATAAAGCGCTAGTTAGCTTTAAGTGTGGCCGAAGCAAATGTTAAAGGTTAATGCACCGTTTGACTGTCGCCCCAGTCGTTGCATTGTCTGTCCGTCCGTTTGTCGCCCTGTCTGTCACATACGAGTATTGCATGTTTCAAGTGTAAATGGATGGAAAAACAATGCAATAGAACGCAGCGATGTCGCCTAACATCGTTGGCGTCTGCTGGCATATGACAAAGTTTAAGTGCTGCTAAATCCTTAGATTTCATGCTGGCAGCCAACAAACATGGCCACACATTGTGCTAGACAACAAACAACAACAACTACAGCACCAACAACAACAGAAATAGTGGTAATGTGCTGCCACCAACAACAACAACCATTGTGCAACAATAGTATCGCATTTCAATGTTTTTAGTGCCGCGTAAAAACAAAAGCAGAACCCACAGTCAAACAGCAGCAACAACAGCAATAGCGGTAGCAGCAACACCAGCAACAACAACAACAACAATACTAGCAACAACAATAACTACAATTCAAATGCAGACTGCGAAAAAGTTTTATGCCGCCCCGTCGCGCTTTTTGCCTAGCAAAGTTTTACACAACACCTACCACAGGCAAACAGAAGCTACAGACGAGCTTCTCTAAAGCGAACTTCAAGTTCGTCTGTTGTGTCGTGGCCAAAACAAAAAAAAAAACCTATTATGCGAAATATCCTGAACTGCATAACAAAAACACGTCCTTCATCAAGGTAGTTTGGTAGGCCTAGCTCTGATACTTTATGAGACCTTTACGATCATACAGACAAACTTTTGTACAGGCAGACCGACTGGGAGAAGTAAATCCCTAAATTAAATTAATAATTTGTCAGTAATATTGGTCGAATTTTAATGTGGAATTCATCAGTTTCTGAAGGGCGCCATAAGAGTCTAACAATAAGTCCTCCCAGATACGTAAGAACTTAAGCTTATTCTTAATACATACTGACAAAAGACTTCATCTTCAGGTCCATAATTTTTTCTTAATCCATAATAAGCCATTTATATTCTTAATTCAATGAGAGGACAACAGACGAACGTGCACCTACGCCATTGTTAACAAAGGCGGGACTACACAGTATTAATTGTGTTTGAAAATATTTAAAGTGTAAAATAAAAACACTTTTGTCGCTCAATAATTAAAAGAAAAATGTAATTTAGTGATGATCAAATTTAAGTTACGTTTTTGTATACATTCATAAAAAATTAAGTAAAATTAATTTGGAGGATTAATAAAAGTTTAATGAATAAAAATTAGAAGACTCTATTTCATATGGTTTAGAAAATATTGAACATTAGGTGAGAGTATAATGGGGGGCGCTAACCTGATGACGCGCAGTGTACAGGGTGCGCCATCTTTTATATCAGTGTGTAAACATTGAATATCTTTGAAAATAAACAACCGATTTTCAAGTATGAGATATTTTTATTTAATTTGGTTCTGTACAATTTCTTGAACTGAGGTTTTCAACACTGGTCTACTCAAGTCAATCGGTTCACTAATGACAAAGTTATTCAATATCTACATACCGACATAAAAGATGGCGCACCCTGTATATGTATGTCTGTCTGTTAAAACTGTTTAAAACTTTATTTAAGCTGAACATACAAACTTTTCTATAGACTTCAATGCAGCTCCCTCGCCGACGCTGAAAACATATATGATTGAGAAAACACAGAAGTTGTAAAATAAAGATTAAAATAGTTTTCGGAGCAATTCCGTGACCGACCGATGTTTATCAGAAAGAAAAACTGACTCAACACAGATTTGCTCTCTCTCCATATTCCGATACCCGTTAACAGGAAAAACATGGTGAGAGTGATTTTTCCAAATGGGGCAAGGCTAAAAAAATCCCAATAATAATTATGCTCTCATATATGTATTCCTGCATACCTTGGAGTTTTACTTAGAAAGAAAGGTGCTGTTCATGTCAGTAATCCTTTTAGTTTTTTAGCTTAAGAGGCTTGACTGTATTGGAGCGGAACGTCATCGCAGCTGATGACTGCACGTAATTTTGTTTTGTCGCGACGCAAATATGTTCCTTATGGCGGTCGGCAAAGTTCCAACCATCCAGCTCAGCCCCCGGGCATGTCGCACGTTCAAGCGTTCAGACGTTCAGACGCGCAGACGTTTAGACGCACCTCAACATTATGCAAGAGCCGCACTTGTCACTTTAACCTTGCACGGCCTGTCAGCAGGCAGGGGGGGAAGTACCGCTTCCCGCATTCGTCGTTCCGCTCACCGTTCGTTCGTTCGCCGTAAATTGAACATTTGTGCAGAGCGGCATGCAAAATGAAAAGAAAAGCCATAAAACCAAAAGACGACGCGCAAAGCCGTTCGGCCAAAAACCGAAACGAGCGTAAATATGCCTGTCATCATTTTGACATCAGCATTGTCGTTGGTCCCATCTTCGTCCTGCCACAATCATGGCTGGGTTCGAGCTCCTGCTGCTGCTCCTGCTTCTGCTCTTGGGCAACTTGTGTGCTTTGTTTTGCTGCACTTGCCCGTACATTTGGGCTCGCTCTCCATAATGTTGGCTGATGGTTGGGCGCCATTACCATAACTATAATGCATATTTCAGTATCGGCAGAAGTAGCAGCAGTAGCATTGGCTGTGGCTGTGGCGTCAGCAAGCGGCCTTATCTTCATCATCATCATCATCGTCTTCGTAGTCGTGGAGTCGTCGTAATCGTCGTCATCGTTGTCGTCATGTGGAAAATCCCGGTATCACTTTCGCTTATGCTCTGTTGACAATCTCAGTTTCATTGCCGTATTTTCTCCACCTCTGTCGCCTTTAGTCGGCCTCCCCCTCCCATACATATGTGAGAGCGTGTTTGAGCATACTTATTTATGCTTGGGATCTGTATGTTTGCGAGTTTATGTATTGCATGTTTGTCTTGGCGGGCGTAATGAATGACAAGGTTTTAGTAAGTATAAAAGTTTATTGAACTAGGCGGCAGCGCGACTCGACACCCTCCACATGGATGTCGTTCGCAAATGTCTGCATGTCATGGCCATTTCTATGCATACTTATATACCTATATAAATAGATAATACTGCCGCTGTACGAGCATAGGTGATGGACAGCCAAACATGGATATTTACTTTGCTGGATTCTCTTGTGGGTGCTTAGCGTTTGTTTCCTTCCTTAAATATGTAAGTAGCTTCAAGACAAAAAGCGTTTGCAGTTTTAAGTTTGTTTAGAAATGCATTTTGAAAAGTAGCTTTTCCTTAAAACAAAGAATGGTTTCTATCAACTGAAAACTAAATTCGAATTATAAATCATTGCAGAATAAGGCCTTAATCTTTTGTTACTTTTCATATAGATAGATAGTTATTTTAGTTTTAAATCTAAACCGTCTCTCATATATAATATATATAATTTCATTTAATTTCCCATTTTAATTAACATTTTTCTTCACCATTAGCTCCCTAGTACCTCCTTCCAGCTAGCCCCTTCACATCCCATTCCTATACATATTTTCGGATTAGCTTTGAATTTCAAAAATGTCTGCTTTGCATCCATCTTTGAGCGCCTATGATTTTAGTTTTATTGCTTCAGCAAGATACATCAATTTTGTAGTTCATAAATAAAGTTGAATATTCTTTTTGGGAAGGTTTTGATATGTAAAGAGTTTCAAACTACTGCTGCTATTAATTGTACTTAAATAGTTTCTAATTTACCATTGATTAAATAACATAGTTGGATTTAATATAATTCCATTTAATTTCCCATTTTAATTAAAATTTTTGTTTACCATTAGCTCCCTAGTAGCTCCTTCCAGCTAGCTCCTTCACACCCCATTCCTATACATATTTTCGGATTAGCTTTGAATTTAAAAAATGTCCGCTTTGCATCCATCTTCGAGCATTTATGATTTGAGTTTTATTGTTTCAGCAAGTTACGACTGATATGCCACATGCCGTCTGCATATCACATTTACTACCCAAATCAAACTTGTTAGCTACCGACCGGATAACGAACCACTGACTTTTCGCCAATTTCAACAACTGCGCCACTTTTGGCAACCATTGCCAGTTCGAGTGCAAGTGCGAGTGCGAGTGCTCGGGTAATCCACGTGGATTATGTCAAAATTGGTATATCATAAAAACGTCGCGTACGTGCGTCGCATGACCAATGATTGAGGAATAATGGCAGAGCCCGGTGGAACCAACAACCTAGTATGTAGTACCATCGACAAGCCATTAAGTTGGAACTTGGGGCCGCAGCTCAAACCTTTGACTTTGATTAATTTGTATGCGCCGGGCGCGACTTTTGTGGTTGGCTGGGACAAAGGCCAAAAGTGTTTGGCATGTAACGGAAATGCGCTTTAAGGACAGAGACAGACAGTGGGAACATTGTCCGGCGAGCAAAAAATACGCCCAAGGGTCTTGCTGGCAATACGGAAGTGCTTTGAATATGCAACGGCAAATAAAGTTTTCTTGCTGGATTCGTATTTCGCTTAAAGTTTTTTTTTTTGTTTTTTTTTTTTTTGCTTTGGATTTCTTCGTTTATGGGCGCATAAAGTGTTGGCAAAAAGCCAGCAGCTTGTAAAGGCAAAAAACTTGAGAAATGTTTTTGGTTGTCCACATACACTATATTCAAAGTGTATATCAGTTTTGTGACAATCGACGGACTTGTGATCGATGAAAATTGAACTGGATATATCCCTTTGTTTGCTGATTGATCGGTAGCAACTGCCTATCCTTGTAAGCTCCTTTAAACCAATATATCCAATATATATTCTGTTTGATCTTTGAATCGTGACGTACTTATTTTCCGTCTGGTAGAAGCATCTAAGTAAGCTAATTAACTAATTGATTTATATTTTATTTTTACAAATTAAATCTAGTATTTAAATCTAAATACAATACAATAAATTAGCTGCTCTGGCTATATATCCTATTCTGTACTCCTTACGTCCATTCCCGTCGTACACCCATCCTTCTGTCTAATCTCTGTCCTATTTTTCGGCACTTAAATAGTCTAATTTATGAATCGTTCTTTCCTTTTTTAA